CGTTTTTTTAAAAATTATGTTGGCGTGTCCGGAGCAGTTGGCATCTCTGCACTTAGAAAGCTATGTAGTTATATACTATTAAAAAGTGAAAATATGAAATATATATTTATGAAATTTTTAAATATATTTATTTTTCAATACTCGAACTAAGCAACTGAAACCTTCAAAATCTGACACTCCGACATCAGCTGACATTCTACGTTTGTTCTTTCTATTATTGCTTATCGGCAGCAGTTGTTTATCACTCGTTTCATTTGAGATAAGGATATCCGATAACGGGATCGAAGTATTGTCTGTACATTCCTATTTATTATTAATGTGATATTTGCATGCTTCCTCAAAATTTTGTCTAGTTTACGATGGCGTCAAATTGACGCATATCCGTAGAGATAGGTATACCATGAAGAGAATTTCAATATTCCAATGCTTTTGAAGAAAATAGACTTCAATATATATTTACCTCGATCAATGGATAAAAGTCATTGTAAGAAATAAAATATAAATGCAAGCGAATTTTGTAATTTTCCTTATAGAATTCGAAATGCGTCAAAATGACGCGTCCATTAAACCTAGTGCTAAAAGAGCATGGGAAATCAATAGCAGAGATTTCAACTTGCTCCGGACAGCAAATATACATTCTAAAGTGGTAGTTTATCAATTGTGATTCTTAGTTTAATAAATTCAACTTAGTAGGTTTTTATCTACCACTATTTCTAAATAAGTCGTTGGCTTGTATAATTCAGCACTTCATAGTAATTAGGTCATGCTAAGGCTCCTATACTATCAGAGCTGACCTATCAAGCAATATTGGAGCAAACAAGTTCGCAATTTAGCGTAAAGTTAGTATTAGTTATGTTATTTCAGAGATGCCAACTGCTCTGGACACGCTAAAATAATTTAACAAACGGTAAATAACTACAAAGTAAATTTTGCAAATAGTTGACAATATTTGCTTGCTTTTAAAAATGTAAAGCATGTCATAAGTACTATAAAGTGGTGAATTATATAAGTCTACGCATTGTTTAGAAATAGTGGTGGATTAAAATCTACTAAATCGAACTTATTAAACCAAGAATTACAATTAATAAACTACCACCTGAAAATATTTATTCGCTGTGCTTATGTTAGCTCTTTGCTCCAACAATAAATGATAAGTCGGCCTGTCTAATTCAGGGGCTCTAGGTCATGCTATATCTTTTAAAAAAGCAAGCAGAGATAGTCAAATATTCATAAAATTTACTTTGTAGTTATTTACCGTTGTTATAATAATTTCGTCGTATCCGGAGCAGTTGGCATCTCTGCAATAGCTGTCTTCCTTTTTTAATCCCATTGTAATTTTAATTTAATTTTGAAAATTTGAGGTATTTAGCTAGAAATAAGTTAACTCCCTCTCTTCATTTTGGTCAGTCAGAACTTTGAGTGGTTAAATATGTCATTGTTTCAAAAAACTCCAAGCGTGATGTTTGATATTGTTTCAACAGTTTTGCGATGCAAAATCTTCCAAAACACTTGCTGCTAAAAAAAGATAGTTTGCATAAAGTTAATATAGAAGTGTTTCCATATTTTTGTCCAACCCCTGTATATTTCGATCTGAAGTTAAGAGATTGTGTCATTTTAAGTAAAAATTAGTAGGTAATAAAAAGAAATATTCACTTAGTGTAAATGAATATGTATACCCGTTTTTCCATTCAATTGTTTTTCATGTATTAAGGTATTTATTGTTTGCGTTAAGTGAAATAAGCAGAGCTACCAAATTTATACGCTTTTTGGGAAAATTTTATCGAGTGGTAGAAAAATTCAAAACATTGTAAAAAGTGTGGAATCACTTATGGGTGGCAACTTATATGATGTGATTTTTCTTGAAATATTGTAGCAAAAAAAACAGAAAAAAATTCCAAAAAAATATGTTGACTAGAAGAAAAAAATTAAATCGTAATCCAAAACTTTAGGCTAGACATTTCATTTCATATGCATTATCATTTAAATCTTAATTTTTAAAACAATTTCAATTACGTACTATTATGTCTATGGTAACCTTATTATTCATACTATTCCTTTCTTTTACTTTACGATTAAAATAGTGGTTTAGGAGAAAAAAAATATTCAATATAGGTACTATTTCAAACAAAATTATGATTATTCCGTAAGAGTCAGCTTGATTTGAGCAGTGTATTTGATTAAGGGAATAACTGGGCTTTTTTCCAAAGAATCAGATAAATTTTGCGTGCAACTGAGGTTTGTAATCTGTAAAAAAAGTCACGGAATTATGCGGATTTAGGTCATTGCAAATTAGTCGTTGTTTCTACAAAAAGATATATTATCTAATTTTCTGAATTGCATCATACGATTTCAAGAAAAAAAAATATATTGATTTTATAACTTCAATTAAAGAAGCTTAAGAGTTAAAATTGCATTTTAAGACACGATGGTTGTCTGAACAATACGTATATGAATTAAAATATTTGAAATTACATTATCATACCTGCCAACTCTTCCGGATTTTCCGGAAGATTTTATTTTCATATTTAAAGTGGTAGTAAATATATACTTTTTTTTCTTTTATAAACTTAATTTTTAAATGATTTTGATCACCACTATTCTTCCAAAAATTTAGCACATATATTAATATGCGTTACTATCATGGTTGTCAACTTAAGTTTTTTCAAATGCAACGTATTTGTTATTTAAAATTTAAGTTTTAATTCCATTTTAATACCACTGGGAAAAATGATAATGGAAGAGATTAAAAGTTGGCAGGTATGCATTATCTTGTCAGAATTTGGACAATAGCTGTAGGTTGAAAGCTGGCGTTATCCATAAAATTTAAGTTTTGTATCTCATAAAGCGCTTAGAATCAAGTTCACTTAGAATCAAGAAGTCAATAAGATACAATCAAGTTCTGTTTTTATTAGAGTACGTCAATTATATTTCACTTTCAGCTTTCAAACGTCCAGGAAACGAAGACCAACAAAAATGCAAATTGCAAAAAAATAGGGGTACATAAATTTTAATATGTTATCCAAAGAAAGGCTATTTAAACTCTTTGCTAGAAACTCAACATTAAAAAATTCAAAATTTAATGGTTTTTAGAAATCGGAGCAATGGTAATGCTGTTCAGTAGGGCTCAAAATTAAAGATCATTTGCTAATCTGGGATTGCTGAAATTTGAGCTGGACCCCCTATGAAATAATTATCATTGTCTCCCGAACCATCAAACAATGGTACGCTGTTTTGGTTTTTTAATTTTTCAGTTTCGTGCTTCGGTCTGTTATTCTCACTAAAGAATATATTTTATCATAATTAGGAACACGTTGTGTCTATCACGTTAATTCCCGTTATTAACTTTTTCAACGAAAACATCAGTTTTAACAATAATATAGCAGATCTTTGAAAATGTATACGGACTAGTAATATATTTTAGCCATTGTTTAATGAACCGGTGGCTGAATTTCCTTAATTACTACAACTGCTTCTAAGTGCAGACGTAATTAAAAAAATGCATTTCGATGCAAGAACTAAATGTGTTATTCGCCTGCATAGATAAACTTAACTAAAAATATTTTACGTATTTTTGTATGAATAAATTATTAACGCATGATTAGCAACAAGCATGTTAAGGAACGAGGTAGTTGAGGTAAGAGCACAGTGATACAAAACGATTGTTGGCTTGTTACATTCACCTACCTCGCAGTAACTGAAAATGCATTTTAATACAATTGTAATTAGAAAAAAAAGGATAAAAGGAACATTTGATTAGAATATTATAATTAAGGTACAGAGTGGAAAAAAAACATGCGGACCACCCTGAATAACTTTTGATTTAATGATCGGATCAGGTTTAAGGACTCAATATTAATGGTTTGAGAGGTTGAATTCAAATACGGTAATTAATTAGTGCAGACGATATTTTAAATTACGAAATCAGGCACAAAACATCGGACTTTAAAATAATCCTTTAAGATCTAACATTAGGCAGCGGGAAAAATAAAATATGATTATATTTCATTTCATTAATATAGAAAATCACCTTCAACTATTCATTTATGCATCTATATTATGTTTTCATATATGTATATATATATATATATATACTCTGTCTNATTAATATATACACTCACGCATCCTTTTTATGGTTCTATAAAAAGAAATAAAATATTGGATGCAACGTAAAATCACACAAAATTTTTTAAAGAAAGCAGATGAAATGTTGGTGATTTATTTGATGTCATTATTGTTATTTGAAAACCACTGACTTTTTATCGACGACAACCACTCCATGGCATGAAATGTTTCCTTTATTAAATAGTATTCAACCTTCGTTTCACTACACGTGTACTCTCATTTGATCCATTATTCAAATTATAGTTTTTTCATCGTTCTTCAACTATCAATAAAAACTGTTATTATTTTGAACGTTAATATAAATCCTAGAAAAGGAATACGAATTATTTAATAAAATATTGCAAGCAAAACATTTGCTTAAAGCAAGTACAGCATGATTAGTGTGTACATTTTCGTCATGTGTAGCAGAATATTTCAATCTATAACTCTAATTTAATTCTTATAATGCGATCTCATTTTGAAAATAGAAACAAGATTTTATTTATAAATGTAGTGAGAATTCGCAAGCGAGTACTCAATTAATCAGAACATTTCGTTAAATTTTCGTATTTAAGTTATCTTTTTATTCATGTTTTCTATGAGTCATACATTGACCGACTCATATCAATATTTTTCAAGGCCTTCATTGATAGCTCTAGTTATTATGAAAGTTTTCTAATTTCCCCCGTTGCGATAAGACTAGTTTGACTATCAGCGATATTATCTAGACTTTTTCGCAGTGTACCTAACCGTTAGGCTCTAATCAATAACCATTAATGATCATAGGAAACATTATTGATTTTCTGAGGTAAAAGCTTATTCTGAATGAATCATTTTTATCCCTATCCGAAATAATAAAGGGAAAGAGGAAAACATATTTCATTGTGGTAACATAATACCATGATGAGATCCTGAAGCTTGACCTCTATCCCCAATGATGAGTTCTTCGCTGCCACTGGAATAGACTTGAGATATTGTTGCAACACATCTAAGTTTTAGTTTGCCTTGATCAAAGTCTTTGGCTCCCACAATGAATTCAAGGCCGACTTGGGAAGTCTGTAGGCCACTATAATGGCGGATTGAGGGATACTTTCGAACAAAAGAAGCGTTCGCCTGAAAGAAAATAAAAGATCACGATTCCCTAAACATTGAAAAAAAGTTTAATATAATGTCATTATTATACATAATTGCGTACAGAAACGGAATTTTCGTAGTATCAAAAAAAGAAAGTTCAGAATTGTAGCAAAGAACATCACGTCGGGGTGACCCACCGGTGGGTCACGCTAGATTGTCTCATCTTGGCAGCGCACCGGAGTAAAAACTAGTAACAAATAAATTTAATTTTTTAGTTTTCTTCCGGGAATAATAAAAATCCATAACTACCAATTGTTTTTAACGGATGCAATTTTTATATTGAATTGCTTCTTCGCCGTGATAAATTTCCTTTTAGTGAATTGTTATTGTTGAGAATAGATTAACTCCTCCCGAATATTATCTAATATTGAAATAGTTCTTCTACCACTATTTTCTCTTTTCCCGTACCAGTATTTTCACTTTTCCCGGCGTGAACGTGTTAATATTCAAATAAGTTATTTTCATTCAGTATTATTCAATATTATGAGTATTATTCAATATTCAGTATTATTGATAAGTCAATTTCATAGAGTAGTCACTAGTATTTCAATTTCTTCTTTTTTCAAACTTTGTACGTAACTAACAATTTAAAATATTTTATTGTAAATATAAGCAAATTAATATATTTTATCATTCTGTAGCAGTAGTGAAAAATGAAATGCTAAACTGAAAAACTGCTTGAAAATTTCAAACTAGTATATTTTTTGGACATTTTGAAAACAATTTATTGAATACTGATTGCAAAAGCTCAGACTCTATAATTATTTTTCTAATTATTCAAATATATTAGAAAGTATTTTTTCATAAAACAAAAATACGAAAAGTAGACGCTGTAATCGTATTCACATCACAAATACTATTTTAATGTTCTTTTATTTAGCAAAGCAAAAGATAACAAACGGAATTATGGCACATTAATATATAGCGTGTAATAAAATGGCATATTAAATAGCTTAATCGTTCAGACTGCTTTCTGAACGTGCAACGCACTCCTAAGATATATAGCAGCAATTTACTTCATAGGAAAAATAAAGTATTTTAAAACAATAAATGCGTGTGAATTCGTTTGAAATAATTTAGAACATGGTTAAGATATTAAGATTTTTTTCAACTTCTGATGGAATAAAATATGCAATGAAATATAATGAAAAAAATAATATAACTATAGCTTTAAAAAATAATTTTACTGATAAACTTAATTTGACTAATTAATTTTAAAAATAATTTTTGAATAGTTTTTAATAAATATTCAAAAAAATAATATGTAATGAAAAATATAATTTAACCCTTTTGAAGGCCGTGGGAAGTATACTTCCCACCACTTTTTACCACTTTTAATTTAGGCTTCCATTTTTCAATAACTTCAGCTTTCTTTAAGTGAGTTTGAATAAAATTGATAACCAGTTGTCACTTTTAAAAAACGTACAAAAGTTATAAAATACATAATTCCTTTTGAAGTTTGCAGCATTTAAAGAATTTATTTTATAAATGAAGAAAAATAAAAGTCAGTAAGTTCCTAATAGGTCATGTTAAATATATTTACCACCAAAAAAATGGCATTTTTATAAACTAAATGAGTTGTTTTTTTTAATATCAATTACTGTTCTTAAAAACAATTTCAATTCCAAAGTACTTTAATTTACCTTTACTAGAAATAAAGGCTCCGTTAAAAGGTTAACTCAATTTGTTATATTTAAAGTTATAAATTTAGTATAAACATTTGAAATAAGAATATATATATATATATCACTAGCCCCGGCAGGAATAGTGTCATAACTCTAAAATGCAACTTTTGAGAAATAGCAAATTAAAAAATACTATCAAACTTATTCTGAATAGCATAATCTGAAATAGCACAATATTGAGCACAATCTAGAGATGAGACACTTTTTGAGCTTGATGGGGCACTTCATACATATTTTTTATTGACATAACCACAAAATTGCTGATTGCTTTACTTGTGTCACTTTTCTTTGTCAGAGTGCGATATTTATATTAGGCTGTGAGTTAGGGTATTGTATTTAATATTCGGCAGAGTTCCCCAGGGCTCAATGCTTAAATAGAACAAGACTGAAAATAGTGAAAATAGGTAAGCTTGTTTTCAGGAAAATATTTGAACTTTTTTAGAGGAATGCCAACTGCTCCGCTTTTTGCAGTTAATTTTAATAAATTGGTAGCAAATTAACACGTTCACACCGGGAAAAATGAAAATACTGGAACGGGAAAAAGGAAAATACTGGTAGAAGAACTATTTCAATATTAGATAATATACGGGAGGAGTTAATCTATTCTCAACAATAACAATTCCCTGTAAGGAAATGTATCACGGCGAAGAAGAAATTCAATATAAAAATTGCATCCGTTAAAAACAATTGGTAGTTATGGATTTTTATTATTCCCGGAAAAAACTAAAAAATTTAATTTATTGTTACCAGTTTCATACCTGCCAACTTTCACTCTTTCCGAGAAAGGATTTTCAGAGTGGTTTTAAAACAATGAACGAAAAACAATCTGACTCAAAAATATATTTATATTTTAATCCCGTTGAAACTCGCTTGCACAAGGATTATTATACTTTGATATATTTATTATAATTATTTATATGTAGTGGTGGTCAAACTCATTTATAATTATCATTATAATTCAAAAAGTTAATTGGAATAACCTGAGTATTGCTACCACTTTAAATATGAAAATAAAATCTTCCGGAAAATCCGGAAGAATTGGCAGGTATGCAGTTTTTACCCCGGTGCACTGCCAAGATGAGACACCCCGGCGTGAACGTGTTAAATACTAAAGTACTAGAATAACAGAGGTGCCAACTGGCTCCGGACAGCAAATATAGATTCTAAAGTGGTAGTTTATCAATTGTGATTCTTGGTTTAATAAATTCAATTTAGTAGATTTTTATCCGCCACTATTTCTAAATAATTCGTAAGCTTATATAATTCACCACTTTAAAGTACTTTGTTATGTTATACCTTTTAAAAAGCAAGCAAAAATAGTCACATCTTTGCAAAATTTACTTTGCAGTTAGTTACCGTTTTTTTAATTATATTGGCGTGTCCGGAGCAGTTGGCATCTCTGGAATAAGGAAAATTATGCTCTCACTTTATGAGAGTAACCACGCTTACCTGCCAACTCTTCCGGATTTTCCGGAAGATTTTATTTTAATATTTAAAGTGGTAGTAATTATATACTATCTTTTCTTTTATAATCTTAATTTTTAAATGATATTGTTTACCACTATTCTTACAAAAATTAAGCACATATATTAATATGCGTTACTGCCATGGTTGTCAACTTAAGTTTTCTCAAATACAACGTATTTGTTTACTTAAAATTGAAGTTTTAATTCCATTTTAATACCACTGGGAAAAATAATAATGGAAGGGATTAAAAGTTGGCAGGTATGAACCACAAGATCTGCGGAATAAAATTGCATTTTATATGATACTTTGAGTTCTTTATATGTAGTGGTGAAAAAAAAACTTAAAATGAAAAAAAAATACTAAACTAAAAGAAGCTTAAATTCCGTTACCACAAAAAAAGTATTTTTTTATAAGTGAAGCAAGTTGGCGTTTCTGGCTTATGCAACAGTTTTTTATATCAACTTCTCTGAAATTTCATGATGTATGGGATATGGGCCTTCTGCGTGGCCCAGGTGCCCAATTTTTGTAAATGGAATAAAGTATTCTATAGTTCGTTCTTCAGGAGTTGGCACTTGGCTCCGCCTTCATCACGTGGTATCGGATGATAATATTTTGCTATTTGGGAACAAGGTTTTAAATATAAATTAGCTAGAATAACGAAAGGTGTAATAGCTGATGACAAAGCGAAGAAAATGACTGAAAAAGAATTTACTGTTTGTGTTTGGCCATCACCTTCTACATCAGAAAACCTCCACACGGTAGTCTGCACAGACCATTTAAAAAGTGAACAGTTTGAGCGCATGAAACCGAATTCTAATTTAAAAGTGACTGAGAGGAATTTGTCATATATATTTGAATCTGTAGTGGTAGACAAGTAAATAAGACAAACTAATCATATTAAAAAATTAAACAAATTTTTGGACATATATTTGCTACCACTTTCTCATTTCTACTAGATTTTCTATTAAAGGGCTCTTTCGTAAACTGGTTTGCCTTCATAGTGTCTGATCGGACTATCCATAAAAAACCGTGTGGAGACTTTGCGCGCATTAGAGGTTACGTCGATTTCAAGCGGGGAAATGTATTTCCTCTTACTCCCCCGCGCTGAAATGAACTCTGCGTCCGAGGAGGTGGAGCCAAGTGCCAACTCCTGGTGAAAAAACTATACAAGTCTTACTGTTTAATTCTCTATCAATTTAGTAATATATATACAGGGTGATTCTAAAAAGGTGGGCAAAATTTTAGGAAGTGATAGTACACAACCAAGCAAACAATTTTTTATCAAAGAATGCATGGTCGAAAACAAAACGCAAATCCGCTTGTGGGCGTCAAATTTTATGTTCTTATATGAGGCAAAAACACACAAAGGACGATGAAGTTAAGTCATAAAAGCAAATTTAATGGCATGTGATTACAATACGCGTTCAAAACAGTGGCCAGCAGCTGCTATGCACGCAGTACAACGGCGAAGAAAAGATAGGCGAACATTCTGAAGCACACCAGGCATATCACGAACTTTTCCTGCCGCGGCCGAAAGCTTGGCTACAAGTAAAGCTGCGCAGTAACTCGTAACAGGAATGGATCTTTTACGTTTGCATCAAACAACTTTCCAATTGCGCCAGCACCTTTGCGTTTTGTTTGCGAAAATGCATTTTTTGATAAAAATTGTTTGCTTGGGTGTGTACTATATATATATGTATAAGGGTAAGTCCCTTTATTATTAAGGGTATTTCTCAGAAAGAATTTTCCAATTTATCTGCTTTTTTTTAACCGAGTTTTGAGAACAAAAATATATTTAGGCATTGTGAGCTAATTTTTACTATAGATTTTGTATTTTTTATTATAGAAAAAAATTTAAAGAATTCTTGCAGTTTTCCAGATGAATATGACAACTGAATAGAAACGTATTATGAATTACTTGTAAGAGGCAGTACAGGGCGAATTTTGTAAAGTATTTTTGTGTGATTCGACGCAGATCTTCCTTGAATTGTATTTTTAAAATGGACTGGAACTGGAACTACATTAATTTTTTGGGGCACCTACACAATTGTGTTTATCCCCAGTAGAAAACTTGTTGTACCTGATAAGATTAGATTTCATAGAATCACAATTGATAAACTAATTGTGATAGAGAATCACAATTGATAAACTACCACTTCAAAATATATATTTTCTGTTCGGAGCAAGTTGGCATCTCTGAATTCATGCTAATTTTCGATGGGTGGAGCTACAAAAGTCCAACAAAATATCATTTTTTTTTTTGCAAAATTCAAATTTTGTATTATATATTTTAATAGCGGCACATTTTTGTACTAAAAAATCGGTGTTGTTATTCGAAAATAACCTTTACCGTGAGCGTCACTTTGCCGCCATTCTCAAGATCTCGAGCTCATACTTCTGAATAACTACATCTGAATTCTCATTTTGATCGGTAGAAGAACCGCCAGCTAGAGGTCCATAAGACGTCCGTCCAAAAATTATTTTGTACATCCTCTTTTTCTTTTTTAAATATAAAAGATTTATGAAAGTTTCGTAAGATTCATAAAGTTTTAATAATTTAAAAATATTGGTTCAGCATGTTCTGCTACTAATCTTTAGTAGAATGTTTCTATTTTTTTTTTCAAATGTAGAAGATTTATTGATAAAATTCATAAAGTTTGAATACTTTCAACATATTCAGTCACTATTCCTTCAGTTGATCGTATATACATTTTAGATATGGAAGAATCAGAAATTAAAAAACAATTTAATTCCTGGTATTCCATTGATGAAGCAACTGAGAGTTGCAGCTGGGTAAAGTTTTAAAGATTTAAGAACATTGGTTTAGCATGTTCTGTTACTAACTCTTTAATAGAATATATGTATTTCTTTTTCAAATGTAGAAGATTCATAGAATTTCATAAAGTTTAAATACTTTCAACATATTCAGTCACCTTTCCTTTAGTTGATCGTATATCAATTTTAGATATAGAAGAATCAGAAATTAAAAAATAATTTAATTCCTGGTATTCCATTGATGAACCAACTGAGAGTTGCAGCTGGGTAAAGTTTTAATGATTTAAAAACATTGGTTTAGCATGTTCTGCTTCTAACTCTTTAATAGGATATATGTATTTCTTTTTCAAATGTAGAAGATTCATAGAATTTCATAAAGTTTAAATACTTTCAACATATTCAATCACTATTCCATTAGTTTATCGTATATCATTTTTAGATATCGAAGAATCGGAAATTAAAAAGCAATTAACTCCCGGTATTCTATTGATGAACCAACTGAGAGTTGCAGCTGGGTAAAGTTTTAATGATTTAAAAACATTGGTTTAGCATGTTCAGCTTCTTATTCTTTAGTAGAATGTATGTATGTCTTTCTCAAGTGTAGAAGATTCATAGAATTTCATACAGTTTAAATACTTTCAACATATTTAGTCACTATTCCTTTAGTTGATCGTATATCATTTTTAGATATTGAAGAATAGGAAATTAAAAAATAATGTAATTACCGGTATTCCATTGATGAACCAACTGAGAGTTGCAGCTGGCTTAGATGGACCAGAACTACATGTAACATTTACTCTATCTCCAACTTCATTCATAGAATCAGCGCCCTCTATTACCGGTGGTTGTTTAGGCAATACTATAAAATGGATTGTAAGATTATATAATTACATAACAATATTCTAAGAACTGAGTTTTTTTATGATTTTTTTTAAAATTTTGCTTACCATAAACTCTTAGCTCATCTTCAGCTTTGACAGTTTTGAAATGAGGAGCTTCTGATGACACCTCACAGCCGTATGTGCCTTCAGTGTTTAAATCACTTCTTTCCAAATATACGTGACTGGCATTTGATTTTGATAGCTGAATGATAATAAATTACTTTAAAATATGGAATAGATTGTTAATAAATACAAGATGAAACAATTTCACCATATATATAATATTAAGAAAAAAATAAATAAAAATATTTAAAAGTGCTAATGTTCACCATTGTTTTTTTTTCAACAATAAAGACTGAAATCTGAATTTTTCATTAGTTATATAAATGACANAAATATTAAGACATTAATTTTGCTACCGTCTGAAAAGAAGATTTCTGAAACTACGGAAATTCCGTAGCAGTTGGAGGGTATGCATATATATAATATTAAGAAAAAAATAAATAAAAATATTTAAAAGCGCTAATGTTCACCATTGTTTTTTTTTTCAACAATAAAGACTGAAATCTGAATTTTTCATTAGTTATATAAATGACACTAGTTTGATTTCAAATTCAATGGATGTGTTAATTCCATTCTTAGAGCTTTTTTTAACACGCTCACGCCGGGAAAGTGAAAATACTGGTACGGGAAAAGAGAAAATAATGGTAGAAGAACTATTTCAATATTTGCTACTATTCGGGAGGAGTTAATCTATTCTCAACAATAACAATTCACTGTAAAGAAATTTATCACAGCGAAGAAGCAATTCAATATGAAAATTTCATTCGTTAAAAACAATTGGTGGTTATGGATTTTTAATATTCCCGGAAAAAAACTAAAAAATGAAATTTATTGTTACCAATTCTTACTCCGGTGCGCTGCCAAGATGAGACAATCTAGCGTGACCCACCGGTGGGTCACCCCGGCGTGAACGTGTTAAAATCAGGGATATNGTTAAAATTTATATCGTTAAAAAATCCTGGCAGTCATTGATTCCATACTGAAACAAGCCAGAATTCAAATATATATATATATATATATATATATATATATATAGCTATGCCAACTATAACTCTTTTTGCAAAATATTTTATTGAGTCGTAGACAATTAAAAACTAATGCGTACAGAATTCTTTATAACTCCGGGATGCCAAAGGGCTACTTTTTATGTAAAAAGTGGTAGAAACTCAATTCACTTTTATTTATTTCTTATTTCTTCAATTACTCTACTCAATCATATTTACTACTATGACTACTCATTTATAATACCCAATAGACTATTGTTATATATATTTTTATGAACTCTTAAAATAATGTGGCTACTAATTACTAAGCTATAAAATATTTTAATTTTAGAGTCGTGAGTCTTAATGACACCTCAAGAGGTGACATCGGAGTGCATAGAATTAAAAAATAAAGTGTAACTAAAATTAGAAACCAGCAAATAATTGAATTATTATTGCTCTAAAAATATTTTAAATAAAAATATTTTTTGCATCTCCTAAAATATGCCATTTTACTAACAGTAGTTGGGAATGTATTAAGCCAAACAAATAACATTATTCATCTGTAGACAATCAATGCATCAAATAATACATTTGAAATAAAAATATTTCTAAACAAGAGTTTTTAACCTATAATAGAATTGAAGTGTAAGAAAAGCAAGTGCATTTACTTTGACATAAACTCCCAAGAGGTCATACATTTGGCCATGCAGCCTGTCCCTTGGCTGATAACGATAGAATTCTACATTGTTTTTGTACCATTTTACAGAATACAGTTCATCCCCTTCTAGATCAAAGTCGCACTTGAGCCAAACATTCTCCCCAATGACCACTGCGCCTGGAACTTCCAATCTTGCTAGGCGCATGCTTCCAACTAAAAAAAAAAAAAATATTATGTTTCTTGAATTCCAATAGTTAGAAATATCTGAACTATGTTTTGTTTAAAATAGCACACAGAAATGATAGTGAAAAAGCACTGTTATATAGACAATGTCAGCTTTCGTTTAGGAAAAAAAAGCATCTGTATATATTTATAAAATCAAGTGTTGCGTTCTTTTTTATAGAAAAAGTCGATCAGAATCAGCTGAAGTTTCAGTTTTATATTGTTTTCCGTTTGACTAAATTGAACAGTTAAGAAAAAAACGAAAAAAAACATTTATCTTAACTGTTTTCACGAACTCCCACTCCCCCCCCCCAGCCGGGTCTCTACCTTAAAAATTGTTAAAAATCCATCATTTAATACATATGGGACCACTAACGATATTACTTCTTAAACAAAACATATCTATATAGAAATTCCAGACAGTCAGACCTCTAAATATTAAGTTGATATCTTATTAAATTTTTATTTGGTTTTACGTGAATTTACTACTACTTGCAAGATTATTTATTAAATAGATTTAAACCTTTGATTTAAACCCTGATTATTTTTTTCAACGTTTAAAAACTGTTAACTCAATTATTTGTAAATTATTAGCCTTTATCTAAGATAATTAAGAAACCGAATTGAACTAGATAGATTTTTTTAATTTTTCAATTGGTAAATGTTGATGTGTTGTTTAAAATTTTGCATTTTTGCTAATATTTCATTTCTTAAAAAGCCTAATCGAAATAATGCAAAACACAAACTCCAGCATATTAAAATATCCGTAGTACTAATAAAAAGCAAAGAAGGAATAAAGAAAGTGTATTATATTTTCTATAAATCGGGTTATAAAGTATATATATATATATATATAATATNATATATATATAATTAATTTAAGATAGATATAAATATAAAATATATTGTCTTCCCTCTCAGCTGTTGTTACTACCAGAAACGATTTTTCTTTAAAATGACAACTTTTTTTACTGTAATTTGCAGGATACACCTAAATAATAAAAAAAGGGTTTCATACGCACTGAATACGATATATACAAAGTAAACTTAATTTTTCAACAATCAATACTTTTTTCTTAAGACTTTTACCAAATAAAACCATAATGATCCCACATACAAAATTTTTATTTACTTTTTTCATATGAAACACAAATTATGTAAAAAAAAATCACCGCCAAACGATTTTGCGCTTTTTATTTGCCGTTCCTCAGAATAATTCTGTGAATATAATCATAAAAAATGAATAAGGCGCATATTCAAACTAAATGTATCACGCGAAATGTGGGAAGAAATTGATGCCCAAAACCTGCACCGCACCCTAAGAATACCACAATTGGGGATATATTTAAACACCACTTTCTTCTAAGTCAAATGCACAAACTGTTCCAATCTAAATGCTAGCCAGGCGAGAAGATCGTCAGCCTCACAACTTCTCGCTAATGACTCCGTTCGCTATTGCCTAGCTCAGAAAAAAAAGGAAGGCAAAAATAAAAGTAAAAACCCCGAAAAAAGGGGAAAGGAAAGTTTTCTTTTACGTAAAACTCTTCGATTGAATGTTATTTTTTCCCTAACTCCTCCGGATCTAGGGATCTCGTGCTAATAAAGAAAGGTACCTGGTCTTTTATGCGGTCATTCCAACTTCTCAAAATTAGATTAAGGATTTTCGCAACATCAAGTCAACATAAGAGTCTAGGCAGGTGAAATAAAGGAGGCCTCTAGTCTCCACCCATCCTAAATATAGCGCAAGCTTCACTTCAATAAACAGAAGACAGCTGATGTGGGTGTGACGATTCTAGTACAATGGACATAGGTTTGGGCTACATTCTATCAAAAAGTTAGAAGAAAACGATCAAAATATTTTTTTTTCTTTCTTTTTATGTGTGAGAAATCTTTTGCTTTTTTCGCTGTTTTGTTTTTCAGATAATATAAGCGATCGAAATAAAAAGGCTTAGTTTAGAATAGAGAGCGTAGAAATGAAAGGTAATTTCTTTAAGCTTATGGTTAAGGAATATATAAAAATGGAGAAAATGAATTAAATACATTGACACTATTTGAATATTTTTAATTATACATCCATGATTTTTATTGTATGTTCAGTTATTTATTTAGCTTATTTTTAGATCGTTATAATTTCAAAATAGGATGAATAAACTTCATTATTTTCTCTTTTTGTAATTTTAGCAATCATTTTCAGCATTTTTTTCTGATGTAAGCGATCGAAATAAAAAGGCTTAGTTTAGAATAGAGAGCGTAAAAATGAAAGGTAATTTCTTTAAGCTTATGGTTAAGAATATATAAAAATGGAAGGAATGAATTAAATGCATTGACACTATTTCAGTATTTTTAATTATATATCCATGATTTTTATTGTATGTTCAGTTATTTATTTAGCTTATTTTTATCTCGTTATAATTTCAAAATAGGATTCTAGAGCAATAAACGTAGGTTTGGCTACATTCTATCAAAAAGTTGGAAGAAAACGATCAAAATATTTTTTTTCTTTCTTTTATGTGTGAGAAATCTTTTGCTTTTTTCGCTGTTTTATTTTTAAGATAATATAACCGATCGAAATAAAAAGGCTTAGTTTAGAATAGAGAGCGTAGAAATGAAAGGTAATTTCTTTAAGCTTATGGTTAAGGAATATATAAAAATGGAAGGAAAGATTTAAGTGCATTAGCTCTATTTGAATATTTTTAATCATATATCCATGATTTTTATTGTATGTTCAGTTATTTATTTGGCTTATTTTCATCTCGTTATAATTTCAAACTAGGATATATAAATTTCATTATTTTCGCTTTTTATAATTTTAGCAATCATTTTCAGTCTGGTTTTTCGGATAATATAAGCGATTAAAATAAAAAGGCTTAGTTTAGAATAGAGAGCGTTGAAATGAAAGGTCATTTCTTTAAGCTTATGGTTAAAGAATATAATAAAATGGAAGGAATGAATTAAATGCATTGACACTATTTGAATCTTTTTAAGTATATATCCATGATTTTTATTGCATGTTCAGTTATTTATTTAGCTTATTTTTAACTCGTTATAATTTCTAAATAGGATATATAAACTTCATTATTTTCGCTTTTTGTGATTTTAGCAATCATTTTCAGGATTCTTTTTCAGATATAAGCGTTCGAAATAAAATGCTTATTTTAGAACAGAAAGCGTAGAAATAAAAGGTAATTTCTTTGAAAGGATTAAGGAATAAATAAAAATAGAATGAATAAATCCACGTTATTTGTATGTTTTCTGATTTTCCAACCATGATTTTTTTGTATGTTCTGCCACTTATTTAGCTTGTTATTATTTAAAAATATGAAATTTAAACTTTATTACTTTCGCTTCTTATAATTTTAGGAATCCTTTCCAACATAGTTTTTTAGCATTGTTTTTCAGCAATATAAGCGATCAAAATATTGTGCTTAGTTGAGAATAGGAGAATAGAGATCGTAGAATAGAGATCGTAGAAATGAAAGATAATTTCTTTGAGCTTATGGTTAAGGAATAAATAAAAATAGAAGGAATAAATAAAATGCATTGACCTTATTTGAATATTTTGAATTATTTGACCAGGATTTTTATTGTAGGTTCGGTTATTTATTTTGCTTAATTTTAGCTCGTCATTATTCCAAAATAGGATGGCTAAACTTTATTTTCTTCGTTTCTTGTAATTTCGCTTCTTAAAATTATCAGCTGATTCGTTGGAGTCTGATTTTCTTGCAATTAATTTTATTTTATTTCATAACCATCAATGAACAGCAGATCAAATTTTGGTTTTACGACTACTAATGTTCAACTTCGTAGCCTTGTAATTTTGAACCAATCCAGAGGACAAGGAAACTACTGGATCACTACCGCCGGAGATATTATTTGTTATGGGAACGTGGAGGACTTTGTGACTCAACAGATTTAACATGCATCTGTCACCATATACTACACTATGGAGTCATTATGGAGAAATATTAAGAAGAAGGCATTGACCCACAATGGGCTGCCTGGCCAACTGTGATAATAATGATCATATTCATTTCTATATAAACATTGTTTTATTATATTATTTTATTTCTATATAAACATGAGATTATTTGAGTTTTGGTCACAATTCTGACAACTCACAAAATTCGTTTTGACTATGTTTCTATCGATATTCCATCTTGCCTTTGAACGAAACGTAATGTTTATAGAATTTTTGATTAATAGAAATATTAAAAATATAAAATTGTCTTTTTTTTAAGGAAACAATAATCACATAAATAAAAATTTAAGTTTAAATTAATAATTTTAATTGTGATTGTAATTACATTCTTTCATTAATAGAATGCTAGTAAAAGGTACATATCTTCTGCGTTTAAAACTTTTTGAATCAATAAAGTTAATTTCCTTAATAAAGTTAATTAAGTTCTCAGGTTAAATTCGTAACTGCATTAGTTGCTAACATAATTTACACATTAAATGTGTTACACAACCTATTAAAATAGTTTCAAATTACCCCAAAATAGTAAGATAGATTTGAAAAGAAAACATACGATTAACAGAACTTTAATCTCAATTCAATCATCTCATCTAATTCCTTTTTTACAATGTTTTTAAATTAAAAATTGACTTTTCCGTCAAACGAAATGATGACGGAATTTTTCGTCTGGAAAAACTTAGTTCAATTTCTTATTTTACCATGTTGGAATAGATTTTTCAAATTTGCTTCGTTCGAAAGCATAGCAATTTAAACTATTCTTACAGAAAACACAGCCTTTTTTATAAACTAGAGAAAAAGTAGCTCCAATTTTAGTAGCTGTGCATAAACGGGCTAAGAAATTAAAATTTTCATAAAACTTTCTGATTACATTCATCGCAATATAAGTCACAGCTACCAATATTATCTTAATTGCTCATAATTTACTTATCCTTAATAATAGTAAGATAATAAAATATACATTTGAGATAATTAAATCAATTTAAATGATTAGGGTATATTCTTAACTACATTGATT